AGTGTATAATTGTAATACATACATACAGCATCATTGAAAGACTGGAGTTTAATAATTTCCACTAGATGTTGGAACATTGCTGCGGGGACTTGCTTCCATTCAGCAACAAGACCATTAGTGAGATCGGGCACTGATGTTGGGCGATTAGGCCTGGCTCGTAGTCAGCGTTCCAATTAATTCCAAATGTGTTTGATGGGGTTGAGGTCAGGGCTCTGTGAAGGCCAGTCAAGTTCTTCCACACCAATCTCGACAAACCGTTTCTGTATGGACCTCGCTTTGTGCACGGGGACATTGTCATCCTAAAACTGGAAAGGGCCTTCCCCAAACTGTTGCCACAAAGTTGGGAGCACAGAATCGTCTAGAATGTCATTGTATGCTGTAGCGTTACGATTTCCCTTCACTGGAACTAAGGAGCCTAGCCCGAACCATGAAAAACAGCCCCAGACCATTATTCCTCCTCCACCAAACTTTACATTTGGCACTATGCATTCGGGCAGGTAGCGTTCTCCTGGCATCCGCCAAACCCAGATTTGTCTGTAGGACTGCCAGATGGTAAAGTGTGATTCATCACTCCAGAGAACACGTTTCCCCTGCTCCAGAGTCCAATGGCTGCGAGCTTTACACCACTCCAGCCGACACTTGACGCTTGACATTGCGCATGGTGATCTTAGGCTTGTGTGCGGCTGCTTGGCCATGGAAACCCATTTCATGAAGCTCCCGATGAACACTTCTTGTGCTGATGTTGCTTCCAGAGGCAGTTTGGAACTCGGCAGTGAGTGTTGCTACCAAGGACAGATTATTTTTACGCGCTACGTGCTTCAGCACGCTGCGGTCCCGTTCTGTGAGCTTGTGTGGCCTACCACTTCGCTGCAGGGCCGTTGTTGCTCCTAGACGTTTCCACTTCACATAACAGCACATACAGTTGCCCAGGGCAGCTCTTGCAGGGCAGACATTTGATGAACTGACTTGTTGGAAAGGTGGCATCCGATGACAGTGCCATGTTGAAAGTCACTAAGCTCTTCAGTATGGGCCATTCTACTGCTAATGTGTGTCTATGGAGATTGCATGGCTGTGTGCTCGATTTTATACACCTGTCAGCAACACACATCGGCTGCAATAGTTACACAGCCATAGGCATACAGGTATGTTTATCCTCCACTACACAACAAGCAAGAAAATAGTTAGCTAATTACAGTGCCTTGCAAAAGTATTCAGCCCCCTTGGCGTTTTTCCTATTTTGTTGCATTACAACCTGTAATTTAAATGGATTTTTATTTGGATTTCATGTAATGGACATACACAAAATAGTCCAAATTGGTGAAGTGAAATGAAAAAAATAACTTGTTTCAAAAAAGTATCAAAAATAAATAACGGAAAAGTGGTGTGTGCATATGTATTCACCCACTTTGCTATGAAGCCCCTAAATAAGATCTGGTGCAACCAATTACTCTTCAGAGGTCACATAATTAGTTAAATAAAGTCCACCTATGCGCAATCTAAGTGTCACATGATCTGTCACATGATCTCAGTATATATAAACCTGTTCTGAAAGGCCCCAGAGTCTGCAACACCACTAAGCAAGGGGCACCATGAAGACCAAGGAGCTCTCCAAACAGGTCAGGGACAAAGTTGTGGAGAAGTACAGATCAGGGTTGGGTTATAAAAAATATCAGAAACTTTGAACATCCCACAGAGCACCATTAAATCCATTATAGAAAAATGGAATGAATATGGCACCACAACAAACCTGCCAAGAGAGGGCCGCCCACCAAAACTCACGGACCAGGCAAGGAGGGCATTAATCAGAGAGGCAACAAAAAGACCAAAGATAACCCTGAAGTAGCTGCAAAGCTCCACAGCGGAGATTGGAGTATCTGTCCATAGGACCACTTTAAGCCGTACGCTCCACAGAGCTGGGCTTTACGGAAGAGTGGCCAGAAAAAGCCATTGCTTAAAGAAAAAAATAAGCAAATACATTTGGTGTTCGCCAAAAGGCATGTGGGAGACTCCCCAAACATATGGAAGAAGGAACTCCGGTCAGATGAGACTCAAATTGAGCTTTTTGGCCCTCAAGGAAAATGCTATATCTGGCGCAAACCCAACACCTCTCATCACCCCGAGAACACCATCGGTTTTTTCATCGGCAGGGACTGGGAAACTGGTCTGAATTGAAGGAATGATGGATGGCGCTAAATACAGGGATATTCTTGAGGGAAACCTGTTTCAGTCTTCCAGAGATTTGAGACTGGGACGGAGATTCACGTTCCAGGAGGACAATGACCCTAAGCATACTGCTAAAGCAACACTTGAGTGGTTTAAGGGGAAACATGTAAATGTCTTGGAATGACGTAGTCAAAGCCCAGACCCCAATCCAATTGAGAATCTGTGGTATGACAAAGATTGCTGTACACCAGCGGAACCCATCCAACTTGAAGGAGCTGGAGCAGTTTTGCCTTGAAGAATGGGCAAAAATCCCAATGGCTAGATGTGCCAAGCTTATAGAGACATACCCCAAGAGACTAGCAGGTGTAATTGCTGCAAAAGGTGGCTCTACAAAGTATTGACTTTGGGGAGGTGAATAGTTATGCACGCTCAAGTTCTGTTTTGTTTAACAAGAAAAAATATTTTGTATCTTCAAAGTGGTAGGCATGTTGTGTAAATCAAATGATAAAAACATTTTATGATCCATTTTAATTCCAGGTTGTAAGGCAACAAAATAGGAAAAATGCCTAGGGGGGTGAATACTTTCGCAAGCCACTGTACATTACTTCAGCTGCATAGCATGGCAAATATCAGCAAGGCAAGCTTACAAAATTGTACATTCAATTTGCAGTAAATGCGTTAGCTAGATTCTTCACATCCACTGTTTCACAAGATGACAACATGGTTTGCTGGTTTTTCTCAGGAGTCCCTAAAACATTAAACAACACGAATTACAATTTCATTCTCATGTCAAAACGCCCATAAAGCTAGCTAAATATAGCTGGCTGGCTAATGTAAACTAGTCAGGTAGCTTGCTAAATAGCGATTTTCGTAAATTAACTTCATGACAAAATAATATGCATAATCATTAACTAACATTCCTCTAAACTGTAAAAAAAAAAAAAAAAAAAAAAAAAAATATGCAGGATTCCTTATGACGTTATAGTTGCTGACATTTGCTTCCATCCTAGTCAGCAATCTCTGTTGAAGCAAGTCTCAAGCATTGAGTCGCAGAGGGTCAAATTCGTCATGGAACTTTTGGGAACCACTCGATATGATTGATCATCGTCCAGCGTTCACCACTGGTGATTTGCAGAAATTTGCATAAAGGGACATGCTGAACTTTTCCACCGCCTCCTACACCACTTTGCACCGCCCAACGGTCCCCCGCCCATTCCGCTTCTCACTCATCCCTTTCCTTCCATTGAAAATGAATAGGAAGTTGTGTTTCACTGTGCGGTGCCGCCCCCTAGTGTACACGGGCCGTAGCAGTCTATCACAGCATCTGGCTTACTAAACCAGGGGTTGACCTAAATGAATAAGATAAGGTTCTGATTACGTTCGTAAGTGTGGGAAAAATATTTAGAGAAACCTAACTTGATGACAACTTAGCAGACATCTAGCTAGTGTAGCCCAAAGGCCGGCAGATGGAATACATTTACATTTACATTTTAGTCATTTAGCAGACGCTCTTATCCAGAGCGACTTACAGTTAGTAATGTGCATACTTTTTTTAATTTTTTTATACTGGCCCCCCATGGGAATCGAACCCACAACCCTGGCGTTGCAAACGCCATGCTCTACCAACTGAGCTACATCCCTGCCGGCCATTCCCTCCCCTACCCTGGACGACGCTGGGCCAATTGTGCGCCGCCCCATGGGTCTCCTGGTCGCGGCCGGCTACGACAGAGCCTGGATTCGAACCAGGATCTCTAGTGGCACAGCTAGCACTGCAATGCAGTGCCTTAGACCACTGCGTACTTTCTTTATGAAAGACCATTTTCCACCACCATAATAAAGTGGCTAATGCTACTTCCTGATATTGCATATGGCGTTCAGTCAATCAGGTTGCAGCAGTCTGTTGTTTACCTTGGTCTGAATACTGTACGCAATGTCAGGAAGTAGCCTTCATTAGCCACCATAGCATGGTGGTGTAAAATAGTGTTTCATAAAGAAAGTACGCATATTTTCCCCGTTCTTTCCCGCCATTAAATCTAGTTAAGGGGGAAACTGATGCCTTTGCAGCCTGAATGAAGAATGTTTAACATACGAACCAGTCCAAAGGGGTTATGAGTGTATAGCCAGATTCGTAGATTCCTTTTGGACGGTCAAATTAAATGACACCGGCCTTTGGGCTAGATATAGCACATCTTGGAAATAACCGAGTGTGTTGGATATAGTGTTGTTGTTTATTTTTTTTTATTTTTTATTAAAGCACACCTTAAGTCAATGTTTTAAAAGTTTTATAACTGCCATAATTCATACACATAGAAAGCGACCCATTTCAGTGGAAAAAATTGGATCATAGACACACGGAAAGGTGATATAACCGCCTGTCTGCACGTACACCTAACTCACTGTGGACACAACAGAAAATACATTTAGGGTGACATTTTACAAATGGCAGTGAGCAAACTAAGTTAGTTTAACTTTTGATTATCCATTTTGGTAACACTTTTCAATTATGTTGTAGTTAACATGAACTAAAGCGTTCACAAAGCAGTATCCTTGTTTATTAAAGGCAATAAGACATTGTTTATTAGAGCAGTTGTTCATGTTAGTAAAGTGGCAATTCTTGAATTGTGGTGGTATATTAGCATGGCATTTTTTCTTAATTTTTTCTTCATCTTTCTAGATTGTTTTTAAAAATCTAAATCAACTATCCTAACCTAAGTCAGAGTAGTGTTGAACAGTAATGCAAAAATGACTTGCATCAAAATGTTGAAGGAGGAAAGGAGCATATCAGGCCTACCTCACAATCAGAAAAAAACAACAGAGACTGGTTTAAGTAAATACATTTACTTACAGAGTATATAAATATAGGGTCATTCAGAAAGGCACTTCATAAAACATTATATGATTTAATTTCAGAGGCACTTGAAAGTACAAGAATACATTTACAATTTCCAGTAATAGATATTTCCCTTCAGATGATCTCGTATGACCTCAACATTGATTGTCTCTATATTCTACATGCAAATATAACAGTTTTACAACTACAATAAACTAAAGCAGATGGTAACACTCTTTCACAGCACTGATTACTGACTCGAGTATAACTTTAGTCAAATGCAGACATAAATATATACTGCTATGGCTAAACAACCATAAGAACATAAATACCAAATAAAAATGAAACATACAGCATTAAGGTATCAAAACCCCTGAAAGCACAAAGGCTGTTTGATTAAAAATGTTAATAAAACTTTGCGTTTGGACTGATAAACTGAAACTTTCTCAGTTACTGAAAACTTCTGGCATGGCCTAAACTGGCTGGAGTGAAGGATTCTGGGAGTGTCCCTGAGCAGCAGTCTGGAAGGCTGTAATTGGTCAATAGAGGTGTTTTTCTACCATTTTTTATTTATTTCTACTGTGAATAAACTTCTTACATTCCAGAAAGCTAAGACAACACAATATCAATCACTACTTCACTACAAGTTGCAGCTGAAAAACGATCATGTATAATTTATAACTGACACAATCTCATTCCGCATTCAAAATAGATAACACCCTCTTACACTATAACCATTAATCTTGTTGACGCCAGTTCTACTTTTGCTGTGGTAACAAAGGATCGAAAGTGTCAACAACAGTAACATTCGCACTGTTTGCACAAGAAACAAACATGGAGGGAAAAAATTGGGTGCTAAATCATGGTGCCACAGCCAGAGGACCAAATCCATCTCCGAACATTGCTTTAAAATAAGCCTCCTAAAACTTGACAATGCATGACAACACATTCTGTCTTAGATGAGATTGTAACAGAAAGTTCATTTTGGTTCACAGTCTGACAAGATCAAGATGAAGATTACATAGCTATACTGTAAACATGACATTCAACTTTCAGTTCAAAGTATCTGTAATCCTGCAATAAGTGTCTATAAAAAAGCACATCTTTTTGGATACATTTACATATGTTCCTGTAAGGCACAATAACAATATTGGTTGTGATTGATGTTGTTTGAGATAGATATTGTATATTTGTCTATGTTGTGTATAAAGATATGTTTCTGTAGAGTTACAATCGTTAAAGCTCTTGTTAACAGGATGTGTCACACTCTCCATTCTGAGATGAGAGGCTCTGTGCGTAGAGGACGGCATCACTGATGGTGAAAAACACTCTTTCCTTCTCTCCCATACCCTTCTCTGGGTAGTAGCCACCTCTGTCCAGTGACTCCAGTACTGAGGTATTACACTGGGCCAGGAACACCTGTACCCCCAACTCCTTATAATCCTTACACACCTCCTTCATCGCATTGACCCCTGCTGTGTCCAGGAACAGCACCGGGCTGCAGTCTATCACCACAGAGTGGAAGTTGACTTGATTTGGTAGGAAGACTTTGGTGGTGGTAGTCAACTCTTTCTCTTTACCCTTAGTCCCGCCCTCCCCTCCTGTCGTCATGGCTGCTTCTTCTTGCTTTCTCCTCTGTTTCTCCAGCTTCCTGCGCCGGGCCTTCTCCTTGACGGGGTCCAGGCCCAGGTGGCGGTACAGGGCCTTCTTGAACAGGCTCTGGTTGGCGTAGTAGATTGGCGCCTCGTAGCGGAAGATGGCCACCCCAGGCTGGGTCTGCAGGCCCTTGTAGGAGGCCAGGTCCTCATAAAGCTCCCGTTGGCCGGCCCGGCCCAGCCCTAAGGCCTGGGCTCTCTGAGTGCGCCCCAACACACAGAATGCTGAGACCATCACCCCAACCAGCAGGCCTAGCTCTGTGTTTATCAAAGCTGAGGTTGCCATGGTCACCAGCCAGATGGCGGTGTCCAAGCGGTTCACGCGCCACATCCGTGGGACGTCTGTGAACTTAAGCAAAGCTCCCCGGAGGTTCACCAAGATGATCACTGCTAGCACACACCTGGAGACGACATGGAAACACACCAATCACCAAATCAGGTGGAACATCATTATCTGGCAAACATTTTCAATATGAGCAAACTATGTGTAGTGGATGTTATGATCTCATGAGATGAACATGTATAGTAAAGCTAAATGTTACACACAGAATAGCATGGTCTAACCTCTGCAGGGAGTAGAAGAGAGGGGAGATGACCAGCAGCACCAGCAGCAGCACCAGGGCCGTGACCAGGCCAGACAGCTGAGTCTGGCAGCCTGTAGACTCCTTCACCAGGGTCTTGGTCAGGGCAGCGCTGGTGGTGAAACAGCAAAAGAAGGAGGGCAGGATGTTACAGAAGCCTATGGCGTACATCTCCTGGTTGGGATCCACCACATAGCCGTGCTTCTTGGCAAACATCTCAGACAGGGAGACGGTGATGGCAAAGCCCACGATGGCTATAGAGAAGGCATCTACCGCTACGTTGGGGATCAGAGACCAGGACGGGAGCTGGGGGGGCAGGAAGCCCGTGGGGATGGTGCCGGCCACCTTCGAGCCATACTCCTCCTCCAAGTGGCCGAAGTGGGAGGCCAGAGTGGCAGCGATGACAACGAACAGCTCAAAGGGGATGGGGGCTTTGAGCTTGGCTTTGAAGCGGTTGTTGAGCTCCTTGGTGGGGACCAGTACTGCCAGGCACACTAGGCTGGTGACCAGGTCACAGAGGTTGGTCTGGCCCAGGTTCTGGAAGAGGCTGACCCAGGTCTTGATGAGGGTGCCCCAGCCCTGGGCGCGGGGCAGCTGCAGTCCCAGGAGGTACTTGACCTGGGAGGTAAGGATGGTGAGAGAGGCCCCCGTGGCGAAGCCGCTCAGGAGGGAGTCTGACAGGTACACAGATACAAAGCCCACCTGCAGGAGGCCCATCAACACCTACAACCACAGAGTGAAAACAGAGAGGGAGTAATGGCTTTAGAAAAAATAGGAAAACACTAAAAGTCATACTAGTCAGGACCAATGACAATCAACTTGTTATAACATTAATTAATTCTGTTTGTCATTGATTTGAATCACGTGAGACGTTACAACATTCCCCCTTTACACACATTTACCTGGTAGACCCCTGCTGTAAAGGTGACTGTGGCCCCCACCATGATGGCATAGCAGCTCCTATCACAGACCGGCCCTCCGGTGCTGTTCCCCATGCCCAGACCCAGGGTAGCGTTGCTACTGCTACTCTCTGTGATGTACCCTGCCAGCGCCAGCTCCCTGTCCACCACCTGGCCCACCAGCAGGCACAGCACCCCGAAGATGCCCACAGAGATGTGGCGTGAGGTGCCCAGCAGGGTGTAGATGATGCTGGAGAAGAAGGAGGTGTAGAGGCCGTAGATAGGGTCCTGGCCTGCCAGCAGAGAATAGGCTATGGACTGGGGCACCAGCAGGATGCCCACTATCAACCCTGACATGACATCACCCAGGATCCAGTCTTTGAGCTGGTAGCGTGGCAGCCATTTTAGGATGGGGATGAACCCTAGAACCTGGGCCTTGGCTCGCTCTGAGCTGCATGTGCACTGCTTTTTCAGTTGGTGTGAAACGGCTGTCCTCCAATTTTCCTCCTCCTTCTCCCTTCTCTCCAACACTAAGGGGACATGTGGGCCGTTCTCTGCTCCCTCATCTGCCGAGGCACAGCAGTACTCTTGAGCCATCATAGCAGGACCCCCTTCTGTTCACTTTACACAGAAAAAAGCCAGTTAATAACCTCTAAAAGTCTCAGTCGTGGGGGGGGGGCTAAGATATGGAATTGTTTTAAGGTGGTAATACCATGGATTCTAGGAAACCTTTAGGTATATACTGTAAAAATGATTGTAATGGGGGCCTGTACTACTTAAGCCCATAGAAACGCATTGAATAACACATTCATTAATGGCAAATAAGAGATATAAGAAAGCTCAGGAAATAGTTTAGTTTTTTTGGATACATATTTAACCCCTAATTATGTTGGCACAAAACTACCTCCATACTTCCATTCATTTGTGTGGGTGAGCTTCAGATGAGTCCGTGACACTTACGGGTCGTAGAGCAAAACGGAGAACACCATCGTGTTTGTGAGAGTCTCCCGAACATAATTACAAATCAGAAAACAAATCAGAAAACTTGGGGGGCCAAATAAAACAACCAGCCCGCCAGTTGGGGAACCCTGCTCTAACCGCTAGGCTATCGGCCTCCCACCGCTAGGCTACCTGACGATATGATTCAGTTGGGGAACCCTGCTCTAACCGCTAGGCTATCGGCCGCCCACCGCTAGGCCACGTGACGATATGATTCAGTTGGGGAACCCTGCTCTAACCGCTAGGCTATCGGCCGCCCACCGCTAGGCTACTTGACGATATGATTCAGTTCGGGAACCCTGCTCTAACCGCTAGGCTATCGGCCGCCCACCGCTAGGCTACCTGATGATATGATTCAGTTGGGGAACCCTGCTCTAACCGCTAGGCTATTGGCCGCCCACCGCTAGGCTACCTGATGATATGATTCAGTTGGGGAACCCTGCTCTAACCGCTAGGCTATCGGCCGCCCATCGCTAGGCTACTTGACGATATGATTCAGTTCGGGAACCCTGCTCTAACCGCTAGGCTATTGGCCGCCAACCACTAGGCTACCTGATGATATGATTCAGTTGGGGAACCCTGCTCTAACCGATAGGCTATCAGCCCACCGCTAGGTTACCTGACGATATGATTCAGTTGGGGAACCAGGCTCCAACCACTAGGCTAACGGCCTCCCACCGCTAGGCTACCTGATGATATATTTCAGTTGGGGAAACCTGCTCTAACCGCTAGGCTATCGGCCGCCAACGCTAGGCTACGTGACGACATGATTCAGTTGGGGAACCCTGCTCTCTAACCACTAGGCTATCGGCCGCCCATCGCTAGGCTACTTGGCGATATGATTCAGTTGGGGAACCCTGCTCTCTAACCGCTAGGCTATCGGCTGCCCACCGCTAGGCCACGTGACGATATGATTCAGTTGGGGAACCCTGCTCTAACCGCTAGGCTATCGGCCGCCCACCGCTAGGCTACCTGACGATATGATTCAGAAGTGCATTCTTTATCAAAATCAAATATATTTATCATGAAAGCAACAACACCCACAGAGTCAATGTGTTAGCACGTTAAAGTGATCAATCATTCTTAAATCAGTCTTCGACATCATGTCACCAAGCTTGACAGATATAATCATCTGACTCCAATAATCAATAACTACAGAGAAAACAGAAAGGGACAAGATGTTTGGCATCACAGGGTTATTGACAACACATTTACTTACCAGTGTTCTCAATATACTCTTGACATGTCATATCCAGAAAATGGAACAAGTTACTTGAGTAATTACTCTGTAAGTACAGTACAGTGTAACAAGTATTCTTAGTATTCATTGTTACCCTACTATACTTTGAGGGTTACTGCTGTAGGTTTAGTTGCATTACATTGCACAGTAACATGAACGTTATAACATAAGTTATAATGTACCTTTCACAACCTAAAAGCTCTCCAGTGTGTGCCTTTCTGTGTCAAAGGCAACAGTTGGGTGCGGGAGTTTTGCCATAACAATTTACAAAATTATTGACTGTGCAAATATTGGAGTTCCACTTGCTGGAGATGAAATAGCAACGAGGATGTTAGGCTGTACCCATAAAGACATACATACTAGTGGTGCCCGCAATTGCTAATAACCCATCTGCAACCGCCTGACTATGTGTTAAAGTGAAAATCTGAGACCCTAACCCGCAAATATAAGAAATGCGCATGCAGGCTACAGCGTAACCATTTTTTGACAGAGGGTGCAGGATTTGTTTTGTGCCTGATTTAGATATGTTTCTGCTTATAATTTTCTACATTTTGGTAGGCTATTTGTTACTCAACTTATCTATAATTGGATACATGCAGCTTCTCTTCTGTCATTATATGTTTCCCTAGGAGACTAAATAAACCCTTGCTCAACAGAATGTCATAAATCGATAGAATGAATGCTTCAATCTAGTTGACATCGGTAAAGTTTTCTCTGTCATCTCTGCTTATTTCGAGGAAGGAGAGATGTTTAGGGGCCGGAGAAAAAAATGCAATATCTCAATAAAAGATTTTCAGTGCAAAATTTCCAAATGACATCAGTTTGACCGGTTGTAGGGAAATAGAAAGCTGTGAAAATTACCCAACATGTTTCTGATAAGATTTCAGTTCGGCTTGGATGCATATTTTATGTGGTTGAAATACTATCAGATTTTATGATGCTGATAAAGATAGCACCTCTACAGATGGTAACTAACAGCGCATTCGCAGTTCTCTCAAGATGCTTAAAGAAATAAATCATATTTCTCCACCTCTGTTCCTGAGTCCACATTTAGCCTACATTTAGTGCATCTAAACAGTAGGCTACAGTTCCCTTGACCTGTTACTCAACCGAAATGTGTCTTCTGCATTTATTCTGCATAGTCCCCTGTAGCTCAGTTGGTAGAGCTTGGCGCTTGCAACGCCAGGGTTGTGGGTTCGTTTCCCACGGGGGGCCAGTATGAAAATGTATGCACTCATTAACTGTAAGTTGCTCTGGATAAGAGTGTCTGCTAAATGAAAAGATAAAAAAATAAATCCAAAACCCTCTGAATCAGAGCGGTGCGGGGGACTCCCTTAATCGACATCCACGTCATCGGCGCCCAGGGAGCAGTTGTTGTTGGGGAGCCTATTTGAAGTTCCTGTCTTGTGACTGTCGACAGGGGCGGACTTAGTGATTTGGAGGCCCCAGGCAGAGACCAGTCTGCGCATCTGCCTCAACGACGATGGCAGTATTATCAGTAGCACCTGTCTTTTTACTAAAGAAATGCGTATTGTATCCCCCTAGAGTCTAAGGACCTGGGCTGGATTTCAACTAAGCTAGCCTCGTTGAGAACCAGGCTTCCCTAATACGGGTAAGCCTAGGGAAGTTCATAAAAATAGCTAAATAGGGGTGGAGACCCGGTGTAAATCAGTGACGCCTCACTACACGTCAAACCAATCAAATGCCTTGCTTTGGCAGCGCTCCAATAGTGCTCACTAGATTAGTGTCGTAGGTGCAACAGTGCATGACGATTATTTTTACAGTCTATGGTGAGGATGGCCAGGAATTCGCAGATTAAAACCCAATCAAAATATGTTGATGTACCACAGGAGGTTGGTGGCACCTTAATTGGGGAGAACAGGATCATGGAAAAGACTTGGTGGAATGGTATCAAATACATCAAACACATGGTTTCCATGTGTTTGATGCCATTCCATTTGCTCCATTCCGGCCATTATTATGAGCCATCCTCCCCTCAGCAGCCTCCTGTGTGATGTACAGTATGTCGATTTTGTGTATAGAGCACATTTCTGACAAAACAGAGTACGTTTTTCCTCCAGATTTTCTTCAATTTTCTGCAATGTTGCAAAACTAGAATGCCGTTTTTGCAATACAAAAAGGGAGGCTTGACAGTGACGTGATTTTGGAGGTACGGTAATGCGAGACTACTACTAAGCTTACATATGGAATTGTTTTAAGATGGTCATACCAAGGATAAGTTAGCTATTTGATTAGGAATTTTTGTAGGTATAAAATATATATATATATAACCTCCGTGGTTCGACATTAGTTAATTTTCTGGCACTTCCCAAAACCATTTGGTGATTGGCGTGTAGGCTATTTGGCGCGTGTACAGTTTAGGCCTTAAAGTTTAGGCTTATGCACTAAACCTCAATGTAACCTATAGGTATAAATTGCACAATAATTATCACTTTTAGGGATTTTTTTACTTATTGTTTTCTCTTTATTCAACCCGCCAACCACCCACCTGCCCTTCATCCACACAATATCCTATTTAAAGACCCTAAACCCGCACGCCCCACGGTTATGAGTCAACCCGCGCATCACTAGTAATGACTGTCACTGTGCCTATAGGGCCTACACAGCACCGACCTATAGGATGAATTGGTCATGCAGCAGACTGACTGAGAGAAATAAATACGTGGCGTTGCAAACGCCATACTCTACCAACTGAGGCCATTCCCTCCCCTACCCTGGAGGACGCTGGGCCAATTGTGCGACTCCTCATGGGTCTCCCGGTCGTGGCCGGCTACGACAGAGCCTGGATTCGAACATATATACTATACTATACTCGGGAGTATAGTATAGTATATATGTATATATGTAGCGTATAGTAGCTACATAGCTATAGCAAGGCAAAAAGTACATGTCATGCATATGCCATCTTTTTAGAAAGGTCTAAATATATATGACAGTAGGATACATTTACATTTTTACATTTTTTGTCATTTAGCAGACGCTCTTATCCAGAGCGACTTACAGAATACTCTTTTTAACCCTGTACATAAGGGTTTAAACGAATTTAACCTCATTAAAAATATATATGTAGGCCTAATCAATGAATTCAAGAAAGTATTTGTTATAAAGTTGTTATAGCTAAACATAGAATAGCCTCAAATATTTGTCAATACCTTATACAACGGTAAATGTAGATTACATTAGGTACTGCTAAATCACTAAAATGTAAATGTAAATGTTATGAATGGGGACCATTGTGAACAGGTTGTCAACGTGTACATCACCAGGTTGCCTACAGTACTTTGTTGACAGCAGTTTAGACAACATGCACACATCTAACAAATAGTTATCTTCGGTTACTATTAATTCGGTCTATTCAATTGCAGAACATTACTCACCTGAGACTGTTACTGCTCTCCATTCATCAAGTTTCTGCTAAATGACGAAAATTTAATGTAAATGTAAGTTATTAGTATCAAAATCATTGGATACTTTTTGTATTGTTCAGCCGGGGATTTGTAGCGCTCGGCTTGTCTACGTAATGACATTTGAAGCCCAACGCGAACGCCCCAATCACATGATAGGCTACAGGAAACCCCTTTCACGTGACAGCACACACAAACACGTTCTCAAATTCTCTGAAAAGAGTAGCATTCTCTTCTGAACCTAGGAAGAAAACAGTGTGGAGAATGATAAGTAAGAACATCACACCATTGAACGTAGTATGTCACTTTCTGATCATTGTGTCGATTTGAAAACTATATAGTGATGCAACTGACTCATCTTTAGTGCACCCAAATGGCATGAAGTGTAAAATTGACATGCCACAGTTGGTTGCAACCTGGTCTCAGAGCATTTCGTATTATTCTGTAAGTAAACCCGAGATAAACGATTTAGTATGATAAGATATAAAGACACAAGGAAGAAATAGGCTATTTCAGTTTAAGGTCTAATCTTTATTCCTCAATAAAAATAGTATGATTATTTAGTATAATATGTTAAATTAGGTTATATTACATTAGACTAGGTGGTTGTACAATATAAAACGAATTGTAGGACATATAGTATCCTACGTCTTGATTGCACCAGTAAGCTTTCACCCGTTTAGGATGATATATTACTTTCGACTACCGGTATAATGGTTGTACAGTATCATACGTTTTCAACAACAGATTGGTCATACAGTATCCAACGTTTTGAATGCACCCGTAAATGCTTTGACCAAATCAATATTGCTTCACCTCTTACTCTGTGACCGAATTTAATAAAATAATGCATGAGTAAAGTAGATTTACACAACAATCCAAATAACTTTGTTCAGTGTTTACATTCTGCCCACTAATGGGGTAGATTGTGGGCAAATATGTAATGTATGTTATTTGTTATTCTATGTTTTATTTGTATGCAGTGGCGGCTCCTGAAAAAATTCTCAGGAGGGGCAATTTTTCTGATGATTTAGGTGACCTACACACATTTAAAAAAAGATATGTCCAGCAACAACATGAAGACAGGGGCAGCATATAAGTCAATACCAGAAGCATTTATTGACTGATCTCAAAAGTGTTGGCTTACCAGGGTTGGTGGAGCCCTCAGTTTCATCTTTGCCTCGCAAAGCTAACTCAAACACTCCGCAAAACTTCACACACTGGATTAGCCGGCTGAGGATGTGGCGGTTCTTGCTAATGTCGTAGTAAATATATTTGTTATAGTGAATATGGAATATGATATGTTGAGTAAAATGTTGTGCTAAGATCTATTTAGGTCAGGAGCTGGTTATAAGTTCTGTTCCTATCCAATAACAATGGACAAAAGGGTCCTATCTTGTCAGCCTTGTCAGCAGGTGGCCAAGGACAACACCCACGCCATAGGCCTCTCAGTTCTTCCAACTCACGAGTTCTTGCTCTGAGGACACACACACACACAAACACACACACACACACATCATCACTGTTAAACACACACACACACACACACATCATCACTGTTAAACACACACACACACACACACAAAAATCCCCTCTCTTAGGCTGAACATTTGAAGACAGAGAACCCGACTCAGAGCCAATGCAACAGTGACAGTAGCCTGCAGGGGACCTCGCCCAACTCATCAGGACCAATCAGAAGATCAGAACTACTAGATTGAACCTACTTCATTTATTGCATAAAATGTCTGCACACAATGTTTCGGGGCTCTCTTCAGATAATAATAATAATAATAATAATAATAATAATAATATGCCATTTAGCAGACGCTTTTATCCAAAGCGACTTACAGTCATGCGTGCATACATTTTTGTGTATGGGTGGTCCCGGGGATCGAACCCACTACCTTGGCGTTACAAGCACCATGCTCTACCAGCTGAGCTACAGAAAGTGGATACTCATGGATGCGCATTGCAATTGTAAAATGTCAACACAATTGGAGACACCACGTCATTTTTGGAGACATGTTATTGACAGTAAACTATTGTAGATGCGACTGCTAACTAACTAAAACATTTTAGCTGGCTAGCTAATCATCTTAGCTAAATGTGGGGCAAACAATTCAGTTATTTACCGTTAATTTGAGGGATTGGGGTGAAAGAAATCGAGTTACATAGTGATACTTTACGATATACTGTATTGACAATATCGCAATATTTTAGCGCTAGTTGGCTGTACCTGCACCAAAACACCATTATTGTTCCTTCATAGCTTGTTCTCAATCTTTTCACATTGGGAGCCAATTTGTTTTCAGCACTTTTATTTCCATGACTGATCAAAACTCGTTCTCATGGCTTTCTGATCCCTCTGCAACAGACATATGGTGCGCAATAAAATCACAGTATCGAATCGCAATACGTATAGAATCATGAGACTCGCAATGCTGATGCATATATCTTATCGTGAGGTTCCTGGCAATTCCCAGCCCAAGTTCATTTGCCACAACAAATCTCTTCGCTAGCAAACGCGATGTCTTCTCCAAAACGGCAATGTGTCTCCAGCAATGTTTACTTTTTTGACGTTCTATGGCATCTCCACTTTCCAAGCATATATGACCACATGTAATATTTTGGTAAGTGATGCAAATAGTGAACTATGTAGGGCCAGGATGTAAAATATATGTAGCTGCAGCAATTTCTCTTATCTGATATGGTAAGTAATGGGGCTTAATTTATAGCTCCCTAAGAGTTTGACGAACGGGTCCGTGAACGCGATTCCAGATATATTTACCTCTGAATAAACTGCCTTTATTACACCATATCCACATCCAGTAAACTTGTGATTATCAACACTAACCTCATCGTTGTGGCGGCGGACAGCTAGCCTGTATCCCTCGTCATCCAGTTGAGTGAGTGGCAATGTCTTTTTTCGTTCGTACCAATTTTTGGAAAATCCTCGGGTGTAGGACTTTCCGCCTTTAGTAGAAACCTGTTGAATTATTAAATTTGGTCTGGGAGGTCCTAATTGTTTCGTTGCCAATTTATCTTCATTTGTTCGCCGACAAAAAGGAACTTCTTTCAAACAATCCACTCTTTTCTCAGTTACGTTCATGGTTACGTAACGTATGACGAAAGCGCGTAAGTGCAAGCCCACAGACACCCATTGAGATTGTATTGAAGGCTCTGAAATTTGAAAAAAATAGATTTTACATGGGAGTCTATGACAGAAGTTCTGGGCGATTTTCAATCTGACTGAAATCGCCCCAAAAGGGGGTGGAGCCATTTGAAGCACGACTTTAGCCTGATTCGACATTTAGTGGCAGTGTGGCACTGTGGCAGATCAGACGTATAGATTACAACACTGATAACTACTGTTGCCGTGATATAATTGATTAGAAAAAAAATCCCTTCCTTTTCCCGTTTGGCAGTGCGTCGCCCATATCGCCCTATTGATATGAAGTTTTTATTGAGGAATAAAGATTAGACCTTAAACTGAAATAGCCTATTTCTTCCTTATGTATTTTATATCCTATATACAACAACTCTTCTAGACACCTGCCTGTCTGCCCCTTCCTCCTTACATGCGTTTTGTCTTGATAACGATGAGTGATACTAGTAAATGTTATTACTGCACTGTCAACGCTGATCAAGGGGAGCTGAAAGTGGGACTATAAATAACTAAAAAACATGATAACTAATGTAAAATATACTGTGTCCGTAAAATGTATATAGTTTCAGAACTTTTGTGAAACATCACAGCACAGTTGAAAAATATATGGCAAATAGAAATCAAAACTGGATGGTCTTCAGAGATAGATGGGAGGGGTTGAGCAGTGGAGGCTGCTGAGGGGAGGACAGCTCATACTAATGGCTGGAAACCATGTGTTTGATGTATTTGATGCCATTCCAAAGATTCCGCTCCAGCCATTACCACGAGCCCGTCCTCCCCAATTAAGGTGCCACCAACCTCCTGTGGGGTTGAGGGTAGCTGAAGGATGGGACAAAAAATTAATAATGTCAAATATACTGTGTCCGTAAAATGTATATAGTATGTATAAGCTGGAAGTAGAAGTGTTGTTGTCCATTAGTTTACTCCAATTTGGGGAGGGATGGTAGGGTTAGGGGAAAATAATAAAGCAAAATATATTTAGAAATTATAATGTATATACAGTACCAGTCAAAAGTTTGGACACAACTACTCGTTCAAGGGTTTTTCTTTATTTTTTACTATTTTCTACATTGTAGAATAATAGTGAAGACATCAAAACTATGAAAGAACACTTATGGAATCATCAATCATGTAGTGTTAAACAAATCAAAATATATTTTATATTTGAGATTCTTCAAAGTAGCCACCTGTAATGATGTCATGTCATAGTATCGTGTGGACCAGGTTAGAGTTAGTAGATAAGTGGTTTGGTGCCACAGAGTCTGCATTCCGTTATGTCAAAGGAGATTACTGAGGTTGATCTTAGAATAATTGATGGACAGGATATACTGACAGGGGTTAAAGGGTAATAACATCAAAGAAAGGGAGTGCCCATGGAGGTTTACCAGATGTTAGTGAAGAGACTTGTAACAGAGTGTATATATAGAGAGAGTGGATCTTTGTTCTGGAGTTCGGAATGGTAAGAGGCAGGGCTATATCTGTTGTCATATCGAACCATGGTACCATATTAAATATCTTATATGATCTCCTCAATCTGTAGCTCAGTTGGTAGAGCATGGCGCTTGCAACGCCAGAGTTGTGGGTTCGTTTCCTACGGGGGGCCAGTATGAAAATGTACAGTGAGGGAAAAAAGTATTTGATCCCCTGCTGATTTTGTACGTTTGCCCACTGACAAAGAAATGATCAGTCTATAATTTTTATGGTAGGTTTATTTGAACAGTGAGAGACAGAAAAACTAAACAAAAATCCAGAGAAACGCATGTCAAAAATGTTATAAATTGATTTGCATTTTAATGAGGGAAATAAGTATTTGACCCCCTATCAATCAGAAAGATTTCTGGCTCCCAGGTGTCTGTCTTTTATACAGGTAACGAGCTGAGATTAAGAGCACACTCTTAAAGGGAGTGCTCCTAATCTCAGCTTGTTACCTGTATAAAAGACACCT